TCCACCCTTCCCTATTTACAAAGACTTTATTTCCATTTTTTCCATTTCTCATCATTTTTTCCTTTCCCTTCTTTCCTTTCCCCTGCCCCTCCCACTACCCCTACCCCTTTGGACCTTTTCTTCCAATTTTACATTATTGATTATTCATTCTAATAATTGGTCCAGTTTAGGTATACAATATAATGACATTCATCATTGGAAATTTGCACCTTTACATAGTCTCTCTTGATTCTTGTTTTTCACCTTTGCCCAGCCCTCTCTTCAACCCCTCCAGCCCTATTTACAAAAATTTTGTTTCCTATTTTTCCATTTTCTCATATTAATCCCATTCCCTTCTATCCTTTCCCCTAGCCCTCCCACTTCCTTCCCCTTTGCCCCTTTTCTTCCTATTTCACATGACCTATTATACATTTAGTCCTTATTTACACTTCCAGTTTCTCACACATGGTCTCATTATTAGTCTAGGTTGGCCTTCCCTCTAAATCTTGGCCCTCCTGCCTCGGCCTCAGGAGTGCTGGGATTAAAGGCATGTGCCACCATGCCTGATTCCTTTTCCCATAGAGTAGGTTCCTGTTTTTGAATGAAAGAATATTCTTGGGCTCCACACAACATCAGTCATTGCTTAGATTATTTTTGGCTTAGACATTTTTCATGGGAATGTTCAAATGGTCTTGCCACGAAACATGTTTTAAAGATATGGTTACACTGTGGTTCAGGCTGGCCTTGAACTTTTGGCAGTCCTGCCTCAGACTCCCAAGTGCTAGGATTACAGGCACGTGTCACCCCAATACTGACTATACTGTCCCAATATTTGGTTATCTATATGCATAAAAATAGGCTTTGATCCATATTTCACACAGTATAAAAAATTATATATAGTTAGACCTACCACATAAAACCTAAAAATGTGGCTGCAGCTATGAAACCTGTAGAACCTGTTTATAAAGCTTTTCATATTATTTTTGTTTTGTTTTGTTTTGTTTTGAAACAGGTGGGATGGGGGGATCTCACTATGTAGTTCAGGCTGGCCTTGAACGTAGCCTAGGCATGGTTCAACCTCTCGGGTGCTGGGATTGCAGGCAAGCGCCACTATGCCTGGCAGTGTAGTTTGTGTTAATACCACTCCCAGTGAGACCATCATAGCAAATCACTATATATATATAACATATATAGGGCTGGGGATTTAGCTCAGTGGCACCATGCCTACCTCAAAAGCTCAAGGTCCAGAGTTTGATCCCAGGTAACAACAAAAAAATTATGTAACATATAGTTTTTTCTTTAAAGATTAAGATTTGTGTGTCCCCATGTACTAGGCAACCTGTTCGGTTTTTGTGAACAGATATTATACTGGCTTACCATTTAGTCTGTTTTAGGTGAACAGTGATTATGAATGTTTTTCTTGCTGTGTAGTTCAGGCTGACCTTGAACTCACCGTGCAGCTCAGGCTGGCCTTAAACTCTCAACAATGCTCCTGCCTCAGCCTCCCAAGTGCTGGGATTATAGGATGTGCCACCACACCTGCCTCTGATTATGGTTTTTATTCAGTTTAGTTTCTCCCAGAAACTCCTAGGCAGCAGTAACACAAGTTATAAAAATCTAGCTAGTTAACTTACTTTTTATTAGTTCATGTTTGCAGTAAATAATCACATTCATGAGGATTTGCTACATACATAACACATTTTAATTCTTGAACATAGCTTTTATTTATTTATTTATTTATTTATTTTAGTACCAGGGATCGAACTCAGGACCTTGTGCTTTTGAGGCAGGTGGCAGAACCACGAGCTTAATCCCTGGCCCCACATTTTAATTCTTAATCATGTGCTAGTTGATTATTTCAAAGCACGAAACCAGGAACGCCAAATATGTTACCAAAACATTTTGTTTTGGACATGTCTTGATAGTTTCATATTTATATTGTAATGTAAATCTACATGAACAAAACAATTTTTTCATACATCTAATAAAAACAAAAACAACAAAGAGAAATAAAAATTTTTTTTAACATAAAGGTGAACGCAGATTTTGGGTTTTAGAAAAGTGAAAGTACACCATGGGACTGGTTTTAGGAATCCTAAAGACTCCCCAGTCTCTAAAATACCTAGGTGACAGGGTCTTAATAAGTTGCCCAGTCTTAGCTTGAATTTGTGGTCTTCCTGCCTCAGCCTCCCAGAGTACTTGGATTACAGAAATGTATTCCAAGCCTAGATCTATCCCCATTCTCCGATTTACACACCATTTTTCCCCATAACTTGAAATAAGAGAGTGTATTTCTTAAAAAATCATTTAATCAAGATTTGGTCCTGATCAATTCAGATAGAGCAAGTTGTTTCTTTTTTCTTGCATGGTTTTTAACGTTTTTTTGGAATGTGGATATAAACAGAAATTTGGTAAGTTTTTATAAATTGTCATTTTCTAAATCCTGAACATAATAGCAGATAAAATCCCTCTTTTCAAATAAAAAGCAAATGGTTAAAGAGATTTCTCAAGAAATCTAATGTAGATTGTATCACACCTTTTACCTTTATTCCCATTGCAGTTTGCTGTGTTACCAAGTTCTGTATCTGAATATCCACCTGAAGTTGGAGGGAAAAAATGCATCTGTGTTTGCACTATTTATGTAGTATTTTTATTCAGTTTTACAAGTACTTTAGTAATTAAATTGAAGTTGTTCATGGGGTATAGCAAGTACTATCTACACCATTGAAGAGGCAGTGATGTCTGAAATTGGCTGGTTTCCATAATTACCTGCTGGTAATTACCATGCCTAAGACATTTTAACCTGTCTACATTAAGATAAACAGTAGTGATATTTTAAGTAAGTATATTCAGGGGAATATTATCAGTAGGTTCCAGTTCTTTCTTTGGCTTAATAATTGAAATACTATAAGAGCCTTGTAATGCTTAAGCTTTAACCTAAGGAGGTTGATGTAGAGATTCAGTGTCTTAGTCTATTCAAATGATTAGCTAATGTGTCTAGAAATAGTTTCCTTTGAAGTCTTTTTGAGCATTTTAAAAAAATCTGGCTAAATTTCCCTGCTTAGTGTCCAGATTTCCTATTTAGTGTGCAGTCATAATTATTCTAAGTTTCTTTGATAGTTTGCTCTTGTTATGAGACTTTCACTACTTTTATAACACCCGAGGCTTAATCAGTTAAAGAATCAGTATCTATTTATTATTGCCCCATGATTTAGCATACACCATTTCTGTGGCTAGCTCAATTTGTAGCTGGTTCGTACAGCTGTCATACTAAGCTTCCTATTTCCTGTCTCTTGGACCTATTGAAAAGTTAGCACAATAGGTTTGCTTTTTGCTCTCCCATTTTTTCCCCCTTTTTTCTTTTGTCTTTCAAAGCCAGCAATTTGTGCATTTTTCAAGATGAGGGATTACTACTTTTCCTCAGGAATGTTTTTGTGTTTGAGAGTCAGTCCATTTTTACTAGAGCAGCAACTAAGTAATTGTGTGTCACTAAATGCCTGTTAGCACTACCTACTCAATTTTGAAATATTTTTGTTTAAAGAACTATACCATTTTATTGTATTTGTGCTCTCATTGGGTCATTACAGAGATTCAAAACGGGCTGGGGATTTAGCTCAGTGGTTCTTCCACCTGCCTCGCAAGCTCAAGGACTGGAGTTTGATCCCGAGTACCAAAAAAAAAAAAAGATTCAAAACAAACTTGTTCTAGCTTCATTTTGGTTACGAGTTCGATGGTAATTTCAGTGCTCTGAACTGTAGGGATTCTGGAATGGCAAGCTCATTGTTGTGGAATCTGGTGCTGGTGAGAGTATGTGGGTTTGGAAGGTAACCTAGATCGGTGGCATGAGCTAAGTTTCATGTTCAAAGGTACAGATAAATTCACTTCAGAAATTCTCTTAAAAGTATCATCTTGCATAAAGCACAGTAGTTTCTGAAAGCTAATTTTATTTGAATCATACTTTGGAAAATTTTGTACCAAAACACAAAAACAAAATGTTTTCAGTTAAAAATGGAAGATAGTGATTTCAAATGGACAAATTAATAACTCAGTTAATATCTTTGTGATTTCTGAATTATGCTCTGGAAACTTGTATTCATATGTGTCACTGGTGTCTAGGACTGAAAATGTTTTCATAATGAAGTTTACACTTTTGCTTGGTGATGCTCTTCCCTTAGTCTCCAAAGTAGGTGGGAAAATAGACATGTACACTGAACTCAGCTGCCTTATTCTTTCTTGATTTAGTAAAATGTTCCTGCCTATTAACATTCCTAGAATATAGATCAAGTAGCAACTTGAGTTGTTCAAAATTGTCTACTGTATCACATTTGCTAAACTTCTTGGAGTTAAGCAGAACAATTGGATGTTTTATGCTGGTCAACATGCCACTAGTAGTGAATTAGTTTTCTGTGGCTGTCAAGATCAGGTTTTGGCTAAGAAGCCTCTGTTTTGCAGACTCAGTTATTTTGCTTTAGGTGAAACATTTACTGTAGCATACATATATGTAAGGAATAAAAGCAGCATAAAGATCATTATAATGATATTCTATTGAAGATGCCATTGTATAGAAGAACCTTTTGTATTTGGTGCTTAAGGCAAATGATCTATGTATCGTTAGGTTTATATGTATATATGTTATAGTTATTGTAGCATTAACAATATTACATAGAAAATGGCAGTTATGTTGGTCTTTTGAATGAAATGACTGAGAGCCAGGCAAGGGTGATGCATGCTTATAATCTCATGGTTGAGACAGGAAGACCTAGAATCTAAGGCCAGCCAATACTACATAGTGAGATGTGGTCTGAAAAAATGGGGCACAATGGGTTTGGTATGGGACACACCTGTAGTCCCAGCACTTGCAAGGCTGACACAGTAGGATCTCTGTAGTTCAAGGCCAGTCTGAACTACAGAGCAAGACCCTATCTCAAAAAGGGGTAGGGGGGGAAGACAATGGATATATTTTGTAAGGTCACTGTTGGATCTTAAGTGTGAAAGAACTTGGTTATTCTTTTATCCAATAGGATGTACAGTTACCCAGCACGTGTTCCTCCTCCTCCTCCTATTGCTCGGGCTGTAGTGCCCTCAAAACGGCAGCGCGTATCAGGAAACACCTCACGGAGGGGCAAAAGCGGCTTCAATTCTAAGAGTGGACAGCGGGGATCTTCTTCCAAGTCTGGAAAGTGTATGTTGTTTCTTACTAAGTACAGAAATTAGTAGAATTACAGGGTTGAGTTTTTGTGCACATAGCTTTGCACAAAAAAAGAAGACCATGTATTTCCCCTTCCCCTGCATCTCTAAGTACCCTTTGCATTTGCTAAATATCTTAACTTTCTGTTTGCTATTGTCTTTTTTTTTTGGTACTGGGGATAGAACTCAGGACCTTGCGCTTGTGAGGGAGGCAGTGACACCACTGAGCTAAATCCCTGGCCCTTGCTATTGTCTTTTATTTGTTTTAAAAATTATTTATACCTAGGATTTCTCATATAAGAGAAATTCTGTGATATTTAAGCTTATGTATCTGATTTTATTTCAGTTAACATTGTGATTTCAAGGTACATCCATTTTTTAACATGGTTCTGATTTATCGTTTATGACTGAGTAGTCCATTGTGTGTAAGTGAATTTTCTTTGTCCATTCATCTATTGATGGACATACAGGCTTCTTCCAAGGTTTAGACTGTTTTATGCCTAACAGCCTAATAATCTACTGGAGATTGAATTCCCTTGTGCTTGCAAGGCAGGTGTTGCGCCACTGAGCTAAATCCCTGGCCCCAACAGCCTCATAATTTACAAAAAGCCCTTAGGTGTTCAGGCAAGGTACCTGTTTTTATGGATGTATGAAATATTATTTTGTGTAGTTCAAGAATTACATTCAAGTGTTTTTCACTCATTTGAAGATTTCTTTTTAGTTTTCTGTATTGAATTCCTTAAATGGAAATAAATTACAGAAAGTGTCTTAAAATAGAATTTAAGTTGGGTTTTTTGGTTTTTTTGGTACCGGGAATCGAACTTGAACTCTGGTCCTTGGGCTTGCGCAGTAGGTGGCAAAACCACTGAGCTGAATCCCCGGCCCTAGAATTTAAGTTTTTTAACAAGCCCATATAGAGTCTGCCCAAAACAATGTATATATCAGGAAAATAAAATTTGTATAAATATTTTAATACTGCATTTACTAAAACATCATGAGATTAGTACAGTTATTAGAGATGCTCAAAATGCTGTCCATTAACTTCCAGAGATTGATTGATTGATTTGTTTATTTTGGTACTGGGATCAAACTCAGAATCTTACACTTGCGAGGCAGGTGCGGCGCCACTAAGCTAAATCCCTAGTTCTTCCAGACATTATTACAGAAAATTACTTAAGTATGTATACTTTTTTTTGTTGTTTTGGTTTTTTTGGTGGATTCTATAGTTGTGACACTCTTACTAGAAGAAATGCAGGCAAATATCACAGATCAAAGGTCTGTATTTTTGCTTATATTCAAGTATTGGCCTTGTTTCTCCCCAGGCCTCTTCTTTTGGCTTGTAGTTATAATCTAGTGGGAATGTATTTGGTAACTAGTAGATTTTCCTCTAATTCTAAGGTAACTGTTTATGTTTAAGTGAAAGGTGATGATCTTCAGGCCATTAAGAAGGAGCTGACCCAGATAAAACAAAAAGTGGATTCTTTACTGGAAAGCCTGGAGAAGATTGAAAAGGAACAGAGCAAACAAGCAGGTAATGATCATTTTTTCTTGTGTGTAAAATTGGGTTAGTTACCTAAGCGAGAAAATATATATTGGATTAGTGAAATATAAAACAATTTAATAATGACACTCAGGGTGTTTGAATTGGGAAGAACATCTGTATGGGAGGGTTTTACATATGTAGTTGAGTTTGGTGGTCATTAGAATTGTCTAGATCCTTGCTCCAAGAGACTTGTCCTTCTCACCTGTAGTAGAGATGAAGAATGATAAGTCAGAAGAGGAGCAAACCAGCACCTCCCTGAAGAAAGAAGAGACTAATGTGAAGATGGAGTCTGAGGGTGCTGCAGATGACTCTGCTGAGGAGGGGGACCTACTGGATGATGACGATAATGAAGATCGGGGGGATGACCAGGTAAAAACTATGGGAAAAGAAAGAGGTGGTTGAGGGGGGAACCAGGAATATTTGGAGTGTCTCTTAACTCCATTTTTGTGTCTGTTTCTCACAGCTGGAGTTGATCAAGGATGATGAAAAAGAGGCTGAGGAAGGAGAGGATGACAGAGACAGCGCCAATGGCGAGGATGACTCTTAAGCACATAGTGGGGTTTAGAAGTCTTATCTCATTATTTCTTTACCTAGGCGCTCGTCTAAGATCAAAATTTCACCAGATCCTCTCCCCTAGTATCTTCAGCACATGCTCACTGTTCTATCTTTGTCCTTCCCATGTTCATAATTGCCCTGCGCCTAGTCCTATTTTCACTGCTTCTGACGCTCCTAGTAGTTTTGTTAAGTCTTACCCTGTAATTTTGCTTTTTAATTTTGATACCTCTTTATGACTTAACAATAAAAAGGTTGTATTGTTTTTATCAGCTGTCTCCACAGTAATCTCTCGTTATGCAGGGAGTACAGTTATTTCCATTCATACATGATTTCAGTAGTTGCTTCCCTAACTGCAAAGGCAATCTCATTTAGTTGTAGCATCTGAGAGCAGCTTTGAGTTAAAAGTGTGTGTGTTACCCCACATGAAATACTTTGTGGGACTGTTGAACACAAATGTAACAATGTATTTTTGTGAATGAGAGTTGGCATGTCAAATGCATCCTCTAGAAAAATTAGTGTGATAGTCTTTGTTTTCTAAAGTTGATACTGTGGGTTATTTTTGTGAACGGCCTGATGTTTGGGATCTTTTTTCTCAAAATAAGTCCTTATTAAACCAGGAATTTGGAGAAAAACACCCTGGTTTTTTATTTTTGTATAATTGTTTACTTCAAATTCTTCGTTTTACAGCAGCATCCACAAAACCTTTAGAATGTTTTAAATACTGTATATTTCTCTTGCGGTCATTCATGATCATTGTGCATACTGTCATACACAACTCAAGATGGATGTTGCATTAAGTAGTAACTTTGACAGAGGGGACATCATTCTAATTATTACATCCCCAGTTACCTTGTACTGGATTTTGACTCTGCCTCAATGTTACTAAATAGAAAAGCTGTTTCTTTCCTGGTCTTCTGTAGTGTGTGCCTCCCCAGGTAACTGCGATGGTGGTTGAGGGTTCCTACGTTTATTTTACTTCACAGTGACTTTCTACAGACATATAAACTAATCCTTTGTCATTACCCACAGTTTGATTAATTGCATTGATTTTTATGGTACAGTACCAGTTAGTACCTAAATTTCTAAAAATGGATATATTAGACTGCTGCCAGATTTAGATGCTTGCCTAGTTGTCCTAACATGCCCAGTTTATTCATGTTTATCCTTCAGTTTTTCCAACATAGTAGGAAAAGGAACTGATATTATAATGTATACAGACCTAGAATTCCTTGTAAAGTTGCTGTTAATTGCTAGCATGGCGCAAAGACATTTGTCACATCCTACCTTCTGTGAACAAAAGTCATGTCTTGTTTATAAATATTTGAGCTCCTTTTCTGTAACAGATGATAAAGCAGAATAGAAGGAAAAAATTCAACTATAGCCTACCCTTGGAACCCAAATGCATGTTATAAAGCTAGCTTCTGTTGAATGTTAATTTAGTAAAAAACTTGTACCGACTGTTTTCTAATCTAATGTTATCTCTGTTGAACTTTTAGCAGGTAATCCTTGACTAGAAAATCAACTGGATATGTAGAAGAAAATTTCAGAAGCCCAAGATGCTAATAAAACCTGTTGAACATTATAGTGTTAGCCATTGATGTTTGAAAGACACTAGACAAACTAGCCCAGGATTCAAGTTGTCCACTTTACCCTTCCTTGTAGGACTTCCCAGCATAAAGTGGTACATGTAGTTTTTATCTCTGGTGCTTTTTAATTATTGTGCTGTCAGATTAGTGGTTGCTTGTAAGTCTCTAGAAAAGTAGATTTTCAGAGAGACCATTGATAGCACAATCATGCTCTCAAAAGACTAGACATGCTAGGGTTATTGCTGAAAATATCAATAACATAGGTTGCCTTGTGAAGAGTCGTCTCGGTCTTTGGTTGCTGTGGATTATAATTCCTTCCTATATTTAAGAACACAATTGAAAACAATGATAGCTGTATTTAATCAGTACTTTGACATTTCGGTTCCTAAGTCTGAACTTGGCAAAGATGGTTAAATTACAAAGGGTAAAATACCATTTGAAATCCAGGCAAATTATGTAGTTTATGCTTTTTAAAAAAGGTTGTTAGTGGTCGTTGAGGCATGGATCCAGGTGGTGGGTTTATAGTCATTGTAGCATTCAATCCTCAGCCCTAGAAAATGAGATTGAAATTTGGTAGATCTGTAGGAATGGCACTGCCTGTAATGGGGAAGGAATGGTCAACACTTGGCAAAAAATTAAAGAGAATTTGGAGTAATTTGTCTAAGTCTCAGGGGACTTAATATTATTCAAGAGAAGGGTTAAACATATATATGCATTTTAATTGCTATGAGCAGAACAGAAGTGTCTAAAGCCATGAAATTGAAGAAAATAGACAGGAATCTTAGGGCATTTTCTAGCCGGAGTTGGACAACTAGAGGGGGTGGGGGGTGACTAAAAAGAAACATTCTTCCTGGTGTTGCATAGTTTCTGATTGGGAAACTTGGTGCTTACCATATTTATGACTGCTCTTTGATTTTTGGAACCTAAGGTGATGTTAGCTCACTATTTAAGACTTACAAAGATTGCAAGGTTAAAACTAGTTGTGATTTTTATACCCATTTTATCTTCTATTAGGAACAGAACAAATTAACCACGTGAGCTGTAGGGTACATAAAAAGGAACTCCATAAATATCAAAGCACCCCAGTACACAACTTAGCAGCAGTGTATTTTTTAATGAACAAAGCAGTAGGTGAAAAACCTAATATATAACATGGAAAATACAAAAACAAGAGTGAGGACAGACTAAAAGTTGTGGTTTTGATGTACCTAGACAAAATAAAGTGCCTTTTGGAAGTAGTTGCAGAATAGAGAACGCATTGAATGAGATCAGTTGCAAGGCATATTCTGGGAAGTTTTGGGTTTTTTTGGTACCCGGGATCGAACTTGGGTCCTTGTGCTTGTGCAGCAGGCGGCAAAACCCCTGAGCTAAATCTTCAGCCCACAAAGGCATATTCTGGAATTAACTGGTCCAATAATTGAATTTTTTGGAGAGGAAACATCATTAGTGACTAATGTGCTCTGGAAAACAAAGACCTGGTCACATACTTTGTTCTTTTGATTGATATTTTCAATAAAAGGGGAAAAAATCAGCTGAACCAACACCGGGGGAATTTTTGTTTCTGGCCATAGTTGAGATCACTTCAAGAAAAATGTATTTTACTTAAATTGAAAGGCAACCAAGAAGAAATGTTCTGACAACTTGAGCAAACCAATTGAAAAGTATACACTGATACAAAATGAATTACCAGTAATTAATTGGTTACATAAGGGTATAAGCTACTAAAGAACCCCATTTCTGTTACCAGTGGTGTACTTCAGATAAAAATCATTTATTCTGATAGAACATTTGTGGTCTTTGTTTGTAAAGGCTTTGAGAGAATAAACTGGCCAAGCACTCAGAAAAGAAGATAGACACTAATATATGCTTGGTATGAGATTCACGTTTTATGAATGGAAATGTGAGGAGCCAATTAAATGTATGTAAAAATTCCAAGTTTCAATTTTCATTAGGTTAATCTCAGGTCATGGGCTATGGACATTTCCTCAAAGGTAGAATACTTCCCTAGTATGTACAAGGCACAGGTTTTGATCCACAAGAGAAGATGGAAAGGGAGTAACTATAAAGTAAATCAATCCCTTCAAAGTAGTTGGATTAGTACCTGAAGTTAATTTTTAAAATACTTTTTTTCTCATGTTACAGGTTCTTGCTAAGTCGCCCATCCTGGGCTAATAACATTCATTTGTTTCACTAAAGCCACCCTGAGTGCTAGGAATACTAGGCATGGACCACCGTGCCTGCCACAGAAAGTTCTTTTAGGGCTGGTTATGTAGCTCAGTGATGGAACAAAAAGCACTATGTTCAATGTGTAGTATCTCAAAATTTTCTCCATTTTAAATAAGCACAACCCACCAGAATATTGGAATCAAAGTCCTCATATAGCCTGGAGTCCCATTTTTTAAAATTCCATTGGGAAAGTATGAGAAAAGAGAAGGCAGTAATGTCATGGTGTAAATGCCAAGGGCAGAAGCAGTGAAGCGTTGAAATGCAAGAAAAGCTCTAGGTGGCACAGGAATGAAGGTGTGAGATCACAATTTGCTTATGCAAAAATAACTCCTACAGGCCTTTAGCAGTGTTTTTCAGTTGGAATAAAATTCTCAGCATATGTATTAAAATTATCTTAGGGTGCTTTAAAAGTAGGCGTAGACTGCAAGTTGCTGTATTTCTGACTTGCTACCAAAGCAGCCATTTCTTCATGAGGCATACTTTGGTGAGGGGGAAGACATGAGTTACAGTGGTTGATTAGGAAAGCACACAGGGCTTTCAGAATATTGTTCTAGAGGTCATCCCTGGGTGACTATTAAGAATTGATGAAAGGATGCCCTATTTGGGAGTTAAATGCATTAAGGGAAAGTAGTGGCTAATCTTATGTCTGTACCAAAGTGGGAGATCCTAAAAAGGATCTTGGGAGACGTCTGGTAAGGTTAGAAGGTGAGAAGACAAAATCTTCTCTGCCTTCATACACAGCGTGTTAAAGTTAGCCAAACTTGGTTTGCTTATTGCTCTTTGAAGTGTACATAAAGTTTTATTTTTTGATTTTTTTGTTTTGTTTTTTGGGATGGGCTGGCCTTGAACTTGGGACAATTTTCCTAACAGCCTCCTGAGTGCTGCGATTCCAGGCATGCGCCACCATGCCCAGTTCCATGTTTTATGTGAGGGTGGAAATGTTTCATGAGGTGTCCAGTGTGATACCAAGTAGTGATAGTTGTGAAATGTGCTCAGTGTGACTGAAATATTTTAAATTTTATTTCTTTAGCTACATGTGGCTACTTTGAGTAGCATAATACTAGAGAATGAGAAGTTTCTAGACAGGTGCTGATAATTGGTTATACTTAATGCTTTTACATGAGCAAATGTGACATATTGGAGATGTTGCATGTCCTTGGTCCATTGTTTTCTTAGCCCTTAGGCCCTAAATCAGTAATGAAGATTTTCCTCCAATGAGGTTATCTACAACCTCAGGGAATTGCAAGAATGTCCATGTTGCCCACACCTTATTGCCTCTTGTAAAATAACTTTCAAATTAGGAATCCTCAGTTGGCTTAGGCTCAAAGCAGATTATCTTCAAATGATGCGAGGCAAACATTTAAATCATGGGTTTTTAATTTTTGCTTGTAACCCTGTTACGTGTGCAAGTAATGGCTGTGTTTCCAAGGATTTGAGATAGTGTTTTCAAATCCCCATGAACCAAAACTTCAACCTATTTTTTGACTTACCCATGAATTTTGAACATTTGAGTAGGAAACAGAAGCACTGAGTCTGAGAAAACAACTTATCCTAGCTACAGGTAACATTGTATGTCAGCACCTTCTCTGAAATTTGATAAGAACCATATCCCTACAGCATGGGACCTGGTTTTGCTTCAGAAATGCAGCAAAGATAAGAGGCTCTCCCACCCATCTTCCTCAGCTCTTGTAGAGCACCCAGACACATAATGAAACCATTTCTGATGGCTCAGACAACATACTTGGCAAACACCTTGTTGAGATCACTGTTGACTTCACAATTCTCATCCTGTACTTCACGCTTGGATTTTGATCCTGTGAACTCCCTGTGGTATCTATCACTGAACTCTAAAAAGACGTCTATCCAAGGGACTTAACTAACACGAATGGAGTTCAGTACCAGACTCACACAGGTCACAAAAATAAAGCTGCTGTGTATTTGGAGCATAAGTCCTGCTCCCCAGAATGGCAGACCCGAGAATAAGGTTTTCAAATTTAATGGCTCAATGTTCATTTCCAGCTCATTCATTGGTTAATAGCTTTTCCAGTTCCCATTCAAGCTTAGGAATCTATGGACCATGGCCTTGTCTGTCCTGTGTTCTAAAGGCTAATTGCTCCAGAAGAATAGATGTTTCAGGGTCCCTCTTGGCTCTCCACCCAGAGTGAGGGCGTTTAGTTTAGTGGGGCTAGATAGCTAACTAGCTAGAACAAGGTGCCAGCCAGGCTTACTCAGATGTACAATATTTGACTTCCTTTTTTGGAATTTAACTTTTTGATGTGTTTTATCACTAAGCCAAACCTACCCTTTACTAGAACTTTATATCTTTGCACAAAAGCTGCTTCTATAAAGTATACCTAAGGTTTCAGAAGCAGGTTGCCAGAAAGTTAACTGCTTATGTATTGGAAATGCTACAGTGGGCTACTCTGCTCTTAAATGTCCTTGGATATCCTGGACTGACTTTAAGCATTTTTCCTTGTAGGGATATCCCAGCTCTTTGAGCACAAGAAGGAGTAGCCTGGTGGAATCTAGTCCCCTGGGGTGAAATCTAGCAGTGTCCGTCCTTAACTATTAACTGCCCATCTCTGGAAACAGCCTGTGTTTTTCATTCCCTCACTTGGGAGTAGGCTTCCCAGTAATGAAATTGCCGGATTATACCTCCATAGCATGTGGATAGGATACATGGCGGCACTTGGTGAAGTTTATACTGCTTTGTCCTCTTACATACTGTCCTGAATATAAAAGAATGTCTTTCTTAGAAAATATTAACACCTTGGTGCAATCTGTCTTTTCCTGAGTCAGCAAGCTCTCAGTGCAAATGACAAAGGCTCATTTTCCCTACCTCTCTCAACAAGTTAGAAACATCCTAGTTGTGTCCATGGTGGCCTTAAAAAGTCCATACTCAAGCTTCTCTAAATTCACTCTTGATTTTTGCCCCCCTTTTCAGTTCTTTTTAGGTTTTAGTTGTAGTTCTATACCATTCATCCCTCTCCCACTTCTCTGCAACTTTATGGCAATTCACAGTTCTCTTCTTGACCAATATTTGCACTAAGCAGCTTCAGAATGCTCTGGACACAGTTTACATGCACACATCTTTTCTACTGTGCTAGACATAGGATTAATACCTGCTGCCAACAGTGGACATATTCTTGTATCTAGCTGATACAGATGCATAGTTGTAATTGCTGCGATCTAAAAGATGACACATTTTACACCTACTGTTACAGTGCCTCCCGGATTATCTGTTGAGTCATTTTATTCCTGTCCATGAGCCTTCTTCAGTACCAATCTAAGTTGCCCTCATTTTGCTTCTAGCATACTGCAGTAATCTTATCTACCCACATATACTCAGATCAATTTCTAATCATTTGTTCATACAACAGCCATATTGATTTTTCCAAAGCACACATATCATGGTAGTTCTTGGCTTAAAACCATTCTGGCTTCATTTGATTTTAGAAGATAATGACACGTCTTAAGTTCCTAAGTCCAAAGGTGGCCTAACCCTTGCCTATGTGTATGTCCCCTACCATATGCTCCCTCACTTTCCCTGTTATCACAATGCACCTCTCTTTGTCTCTTAATTCTCATGCACTCTCCCACTTTTGCCCATTTAATTTCCTAATTCTATTTATCCTTCAGATTTTAACTTAAATGTCACTAATAGGAGAAGCCTTCCATTTTTATTAAAAATCTCCAGCTCTGCTCGCATCACTCTTCATATGATTGGTTATTGTGGTTTTCTTATTAAAGCTCAGAAAGGACCTCATCTTTTTAGTGTTCATTAATGTATCCCCAGTACTTGTGTCTGAAAGTAGTACATGTTGAGTGGATGAATGGGGATGGAAGAGGAACAAGTGGGGAAGGGTTTAACTGTGCAAGGCAGCCTTGGAAATGGAAAGCAATGCTGAAGAATTAACTTCAGCACAACCAGAAAAATGTTACAATGCCTTGTGCCCAACTCGAAGGGGTGCATAGAGGTAGGGTTCACAGCACTGTCTTTCAGTTTAGTAGTTCACAATCTCAATGTCACCCTCCAACAAGGCCCTCTATGATCGGTGTTTAATGCTTTAAGTCTGATAATGGGGCATCATCCAAAGAAGGATGTGTCCATTGGGGTTAACCTGTTTTTTAATCCAATTTTCCTTATAAGGTTCACTCTTAGCAGCTTTCCTACCCCTCACTCCACCCCCCAAAATCTAACCTAGGGCACTCTACCATTGAACTACATCCCCAGGCCTTTATATTTTTTTCCTTTTTTGTGTGTGGAACTCAGGACCTTGCGCTTTCAAGGCAGGTGCGGTGCCACTGAGCTAAAGCCCTGGCCCCCTTTTTTATTTTGAGACAGTCTTGCTAAATTACCCAAGCTGGCCTCAAACTTGTGATCCTCCTGCCTCAGCCTCAGCTTTCTGAGTAGTTGGTATTATTGCTGTGCACCACTCACACATCTTGAGTATCTATAGCTTGAAGACTTACCAAAAATGTGAATATGCCTGTTGAAACACTTCTCTGATAAAGAAATAGAATATTACAAACCTCCCTCATCCGCTCATTACTCCCACTAGATTGCCACTCTTGTATCATCATGGACAGGTTTTGCACATTTCTGAACAATATATAAATGGAAGAGTATTGATTGTGCTGCTGATGTTTGGGGTAGTCCTGAGAGCAGAGCTTGAGAAAAAAAAAAACTTGGAGCATTAGTTCACTTGAGTGAACTTGGAGGGAGAAATGGGAGAAGGGGCAGTTAGGGAGGAAAAACCAACATAAGGATATGTTACTGAGGTTGGATACCTAATGCTTTCCTATATTGTCTGACAGAGAAGAGTATGGAAAGCTGGAATATTTACTAGCTTCTGTTCCCAACTGATTGGAGGATTCCTCCTGAGGAGGTTAACTTCCCTGTAATTCTTAGCTATAACTGGTCTTATTAAGCTGTAGCAGCATTGAAAACCAGTGGATTTTCAGTTTGGCACATCATTATTATGAACATTCTCATACATGGTTGTGAGAACATTCTCATATATGCTTGTCTCTTGGGTTATATAAATCAGACGGAACTGCTTGGTCATAGAGTAGGCATATATTTAGTTCTAGTAGATATTGCCAAAAACTATAATGTGATTGTACTAACACATTCTCGGTAGCTATAAATGAACATTTCAGTTCTACATTCTTTTCAGCCCTTGGTATTGTCGATTCTTTTATCTTTAGGCTTTTTTGTTTTGTATTGTTTTTTGAGACATGGTCTCACCGTGTAGTTTGGAATAGCCTTGAACTCTCAGGCTGGCCTGAAACTTGTGATCCTTCTGCCCCAGCCTCCTCTGAGTACAGGGATTACAGGCATCCATCACCATGGCCAACTTACTTTAGGCTTTTTAATGGGTGTATACTGTTACCTAATTTAGTGTGTGTTTGCTTTTTGGTAAGCTTTCTGAAGTATAATTTCCATGAAGTGCACAAATCGTGTACAACTGTTAAGTTTTCACACAGAAACAGAGAAACACACACACACAGAGCAAGAAATCAAGATTGGGGGCCAGGGATTTAGCTCAGTGGTGCTGGTGCCTGCCTGGCAAGTGCAAGGTCCTGAGTTCAATCCCCAGTACTGAAAAAAAAAATCAAGATTGGAATTCACCAGCACTCAAGAAATCTCATGCATGCTGTCTTGTGGTTTCTACACCACTATTCCAAGGATGTCTGTTCTTCTAACTGCATAGATTTGTTTTGACTGTTCTTGAGCTTCAAATAAGCGGATGTTATTTGGCTTCTTTGATTCAACACCATGTCTATATAATGCATCTATGTAGTGTTGCATGTTGTAGTTTGTTCATTCATACTGCTATATTGGATTGTATAAGTATACAACAGTTTGTTCATTTTGCTAGTAGGCATTTGAGCTGATTCTAATTTTGGCTATTATGAATAAAAGTGCTATGAACATCCTAGCAGTGTCTTGTTGAACATATGTATATTTTTCTGTTGGCTATAAAACTAAAAATGAAATTACCAAGAAATATTTCTTCACATTTGTCACCTTCCTCAGCCTATTTAAGTGTGTGATAGTATTACATTTTTGAAAGAATCTTTTTTCAAAATAAATTTTTTATGTTGGAATGTTAGGTTTACATAAGAGTTGTAGATAGTATAGAAAGTTGTATGTATACCCTTCAGTTTCACCTAATGTTAATATCTGAATGCTACTATGTGACATTTGTACCAACATTGGTACATCACTATTAAGTAAACTCCAGACTGTGCTCAGATCTCATCCCATTTTACATGCACCTATAAACATATGTACATAGTTGTGTACTTTATCACACAATATAGATTTGTGTGTCTGCCACCACAATCAATACACACGCAATACAACTGTCCATTGCCACAAAGGAACTCCTGTATTATCTGTGTATTGTCAATCTACATCACGTCTTCTCCCTGAAATCCCTAAGCCCTGGAAATCACTACTTCTTTATCACTCTATTTTGCTATTTATGTGATATTAATGGCATTAGACAGTATGTACTCATTTGACAATGACTTTCCCCCCTCCCACAGCATAAGGCCATTGAATCCCATCCAAGTCATTATATGTATCAGTAGTTTGTTCTTTTTTATTGCTGTGGATATGATAGTTTAACCATTCATCTGTTGGTGGACATTGGGCTAGTTAGCATTTTTTGACTACTGGTATTACAAATAAAGCTGCTATGAATACTTGAATATAAGATTTGTGGATGTCAAGTTTTCATTTATCTGGGATTAATGTCCAGAAGTGTGATTGGTGGGTAGTATGACAAGTATGTATTTAGTTTTATAAGAAACTGCCAGCTATTTTCCACAGTTGCTGTATCCTTTTTACATTCCTGCCAACAATGCATGAGATCAGTCTTTCTTCAGTTTTCCAGGACTTGGGATTGCCACCAATTTTATTTTTTACTGTTGAAATAGTTACCCACTTTCTTTGAAAATAAGACCTAGCTGGAAAATAATCAGTCTTGAAAGCTAGAGATAAAAAATGCCAGGACTGGGGATTTAGCTCAGTGGCACCATACCTGCTTTGCAAACACAAGGTCCTGAGTTCGATCCCCAGTACCAAAAAAAAAAAAAAAGCCACCCCCAATCAGCCTATCTTTGCTTTACCTGCCTACAACTGGCATATTTTTTCTTTAATTTATTTTATTTTATCCCATTCCCTCCTTATGTACAAAAGCTTTGTTTCCATTTTTCCTTCTATTTTCACATTTTTTTCTTATCTCCTTTTCTCCCTCTTTCCTCCCTTGTTCCCCTTTCCATTTGAACACTTTCTTCCCATTTCCCAACATCCATTGTACATTTAAATCGTTATTTCCACTTTTGGTTTCTCACCAGAGAAACAATGTGTGTCCTATTTATTTCACTTAGGAGTGTGGTGTCAAGGTGCATCCATTGAGCTACAAATGCCTGAAGCTGATCCTATTTTTTTTTTTTTACACATGTAGGTTTATTGTAATAAAGCAACTTGTACACTTTGAACATTTAAAACTGTGCATCACCTTTTCCTTTCCAGTGAAAACAAAAAAGAATTTAAAAATTGCAATAGAGAATGTCAATTCTAAATAAGACCCTACAGGTTCTGTTGATTCTCCCATCTAGTGGCAGGGCTCAGGTCACTATTAGAATTTTTTTTTAAGTGTCATCTTAAACTGCAAAGGGTGTCTGTTAACATCACAAACATGCCAAAGGAGAAGCCATGTTGTCAAATGCCCGCTTAACCTACCCAAACATCTCAAACCCGCCTTTTGCTGACCTTCTATACCCCAGTTTTTAAAGTTTTTTTCTTTTTTTAAACAAGGGAAAGTAGACAGGTATGTGTTGGTAAATGCTAACTGTCCATGTTCATATAGAGACACAGTGTAATCTCAGCCCAGTATACAGAGAAAAGTGGAAAAGTGCTAGACTTCTATGCACTACTGCACAGGGGCCGAGCGCCCTCCAGCTTCCAGCAGCACGAAGGGAGCAGAAGGGTTTTCTTTTTTTCCCCCAGAGCATGGTGGTGTGGATTCCACACAATTTGTGTGGGACAGAAGGGGATCAAAGTGAATTTAGAACAGAAGGTTGTAGACATCCTTTTCCCATTGTATTCTGCTCAAGGTATCGCCTCACAAAATAAGTCGAGAACCATGGTGTTTGACAAAAGACTTCAAGAACAGGGCGACTGAGCACAAGAGGGAGGAAAAAAGACTGCAACTTGCTCCCAGGGACTGGAGAACATTTTTTTAAAAAAGAAGGTTGGAATCCATCTTCTCCTTCCTCCTCCTTTCCTTCCTCCCCTTCATCAGCATCACCTTCCTCTTCTTCACCTTCATCCTCATCCCCTTCTTCATCAATGTCTCCCAATCCTTCTTCATCGTCATCATCATCTTCTCCTTCCCCTTCCTCGTTATCCACATCAGGATCCAAGTAGTACTGCAACGGATTTGGCCAAATATCTTCTTCGATGACCTCTCCTAACTCATTTGTGCCTGCATCAGGATGGTCGGTAAAGCAAGCAGAGAAGCTCTTGGGTTCTTCACGCTGCCTCTTCCTACTGGCTTTATTCTGTGCTTGACTTGAACGTTTCGTTAAATCCTTTCCAGATTTCCATTTGATTTCAGTGAACTTTGACGATAGATCACCACTCTTGTTCAGATGAAATTCTTTGGAGAGAACTTGATTTTCAAAGTAAAGATTTTCATCAAAATAAAAATCTATTCTGTAACCTGATTTCACTTGTGGGTGGTTAACAAATGTTGTTGCCCCCAAATTTGGGATTTTGGTGATCAATTCTGACCTTGTCTGAAAAAATAGTTGATGGAGTTTTTTATATTTCTGTTCTACTTTCGGTGGGGGGTTTTTTTTTTTTTTGGTACTGGGGATTGAACTCGGGTCCTTGCGCTTGCGCAGCAGGCGGCAAAACCGCTGAGCTAAATCCCCGGCCCTTGTTCTACTTTCAATATCTCCTCACTGGCTTGTTCATTAAGTCTGTCTATTTCATTTTGTACTTCATCAATATGTTCTATTTCTTCTTGTTGTTCTTTTTCTCCCTTGGGCAGGCCCAGCGAGGCGGACATCACCTCAGACTTGGAGGCTGGAGACTGTAGGACCTTCTTGGTCAGAGGGGTGAGCGGAAACTCTGAAGCCCATCCTTCTTTATGGCAGAGTAGTACTCCATTGTATAAAAACACCCCACATCTTCTTTATCTACTCATCATTTGGTGGTCATTTGGGTTGTTTCCAACATTTAGCTATTCCACACTGTGCTGCTATAAACATGGGTGTGCATATATCGCTATGGGATGATGCTTTTAATTCTTTCCAGAAGATACCAAGAATAGGTATAGCTGGGTTGAATGGAACCTCTAGTTTTAATTTTTGGAAAAATCTCCACACTGATTTCCACAGTGGTTGCACCAGTCTACGCTCCCACTAAGAGTGGAGAAGGGTTCCTTTTACCCTACACGCCTTCCAGCATTTGTTATTGGTTGATTTCTTGATAGCAGCCATTTTTTCTGGAGTGAGATGAAATTTCAGCCTTATTTTAATTTGCATTTCTTGAATGACCAGTGATTTTTTTTTCCATGTGGGAAATGTTTTATTTTTCTCAGTGCGCTCAACTTCAGGAAAGAATTCCCACATGAGAGGGAAGCCATATGT